GCACCACCCAGGGACTCCGTTGTGTGCATAGGCACAAAAAATTCTATTGCGTGTCAGGGGTTCTTGGATCTCGGGTTTACCCCACACTTATAGGCGTGCTAGGCAGCTTTGACTTTGCACAGAGCTTTGCCTGCTCAGACCTTCCCCTCTAAGACTTCACCTACCACATTCATGATTCCGTCTTTGTCCCCTGACCTCAAGATTGTTCTTCTTCCTATAGTCCACTGCACTTCACCTTCTTTCAGCTCTTTTTAATCCTTTGCCGTCGAGTCCATTCTGACTCGTAGCAACCCTGTAGGACAGAGTAGAACTGCCCTATAGGGTTTCAAAGGCTATAAATCTTTACAGAAGCAGGCTGCCACATCTTTCTCCCACAGAGCAGCTGGTCAGTTCACATTGCTGAGCACTTCACCACTGCACCACAAGGGCTCCTCAGCTCTATCTACTAACTGTAATTGTCACAACTTAGACATCATTTATTGTCACTTGAAATTTTTCCTTTGCCAAGAATTCATACCCAGCTTCCCTCTGACTACCAACTCCTTGAGTTTTCCTCTTCTTTTCTTCATACCCATTGGAGTTTATTTTGGTTGACATCATTTCCTTCATTCTTTTGTCTTTCTCAGAATATCAGTCTCAGCCCGACCCACTAGAAAGCCTAAAGCCTGAAGTGTATAATTGCAACTGAGTGTTGGCTTCTCTGGTGTTTTAGAATCTTTGACTTCTTGCTGTCCCACCAAGTGCCAAATCCGTAAGACTTACTCTCACAGTTTACCTCATCCGCTTTTTCTCCCAGGGTGTTGAGTGACAACGATGACAGAGTCCTTACAAATCCAGACTAAGTTAAACTGGGCTCGTAGTACAGTTCAACCACTTTCATTCATCTTTTCTTAATTCTCTATCTCTTTGCTGCTGGAAGTGTGGTCCATGGTTAAGCAGCATCAGCATCACCTGGGAACTTGTAAGAAATGCAAAGTCTAAGGCCCCACCTTGGACCTACTGAATCAGAGTATGCATTTTAACAATATCCCCAAGTGAACTACATTCATCTTAAAGATCAAGAAGCACTATCCTGTCGTATTCCCCACAGTGGTTGTCCTCAATATTTCCCACAATACTTAATTCTTGATCTTCCCCATGGATAACTGTATCAATCAGGGTCCAATTAGGAAAAGAGAAAACACTCGAAAGCTTTCAAATAGAGGAAATTTAATCTAGGAAATTTTTTGCACAAATGATGGAAGAGGTTGGTGAAACAACCCAGAGATTAACAATATGGCAGAAACCATGGCCTCCCTGGGCTGCAGGCTCCAGGGAGGAGGCAATGTGACTGGAGTCCAGGGACCAGGGTCACCTGGCAGGAATGAGAGCTGCATCAGGTCTGTCTGGAAAAAGGTGGAGCCTCAGAGAAGAATAACTGCTGAGAGCGAAAGAAAATGGCCTCGTTTCTCCCATCTTCCCACCGTCTACTATCCCCTCAGTATCCTCAAATTAACGCAATCAGAAGGTAGCTGACCAAGAAGCCTGGAAAACCCAACCTGCTACTCAGAGAACAGCTAGGGGAGGGAAAAGAACACTTAGGAGACAAACAGGCCAAACACAGGCTCCGTGGCCTCGCCTACCCCTCCGTGGTCTACCCTTCTGTGGCCTACCCCTCCATGGCCTACCCCTCTGTGGTCTACCCCTCCATGGCCTTGCCTACCCCTCTGTGGTCTACCCCTCCGTGGCCTCGCCTACCCCTCCGTGGTCTACCCCTCCGTGGCCTCACCTACCCCTCCGTGGTCTACCCCTCCGTGGTCTACCCCTCTGTGGTCTACCCCTCCGTGGCCTCACCTACCCCTCCGTGCTCCACGAGTGCCTTTGGGAATGACTTCTCTTCCCTCCCTGTGACCTTAAACCATCTGCCTTTAGCTATTTTCTCTTCCTTCTGCCCAATCTCAGAGAAAAATATATCATTTGGATTTTCTAGGAGATTGAAGATTGGTATAAAATACAGTAAAACCTGAGGAAGTCAGAACCCGTGTAAAGCAGAAATCTGTCAGAGAAAGAAAACTCAAACATTTTCCACTAACAGACAGCAATAGAAAAGTGGTAAGACCGCACGCTGACAAAGGCAGAAAACTGGCAACACCCGTCAAAACAAGGCAATCCCACTGAGTTCCGGCTGTCACAGTTCTCCCTGTAGAACTAAAATAGCTACAAACCACAGAGCTGATAGCGTAGAAGCTCTCAGCTCTATGTCTCAAGAATGTGAGGGGACTATCTTTTGGAAACAGGTGGGAAAAGTGCTTCTGAAATCATGCTATGTGATGTGGAGAAATTGCCTGCTGAAACCATCTAGGAAAAAAACGCCTCAGGCTATGAAAAAGGTGCCAATGTTTTTCTTCATTTTTATATCACGAGGACATGGACTCACCTGTTAACTTAATATGCTCAAGCCATTTCTATTAGACAAACCATTTACGTTTCGATTTAATGTGCACTTATTAAAACCAAAAATCATCTTTTTCAGAGGCCCCAGAAAAGTAGAGCATTATTGAAGAAGAACAAAGTAGGAGGCCTCACACTCCCTGACCTCAGAACCTATTATACAGCTACAGTAGTCAAAATAACCTGGTACTGGTACAATGACAGACACATTGACCAATGGAACAGAATCTAGAGCCCAGATGTAAATTCATCTACCTACGGCCACCTGATCTTTGACAAAGGTCCAAAGACAGTCTTTTCAACAAACGGTGCTGACAAAACTGCATGTCCGTCTGTAAAAAAATGAAACAAGACCCATACCTCATGCCACAAACAAAAACTAATTCAAAATGGATCAAAATCTAAATATAAAATCGAAAATTATAAAGATCATAGAATAAAAAATAAGGTCAACACTAGGAGCCCTAATATATGGTATACACAGGATACAAACTGCAATTAACAATACACAAACACCAGAAGATAAGCTAGCTAAATGGGATCTTCTAAAAATTAAACACTTAAGCTCATCAAAAGACTTCACCAAAGGGGTAAAAAGAGAGAACATACAGCCTGGGAAAAAAATTTTGGCTATGACATATCCGACAAAGGTCTAATCTCTAAAATCGATAGGAAAACCCAACACCTCTCCAACAAAAAGACAAATAATCCAATTAAAAAATGGGCAAAGGGTATGAACAGACACTTCAGCAAAGAAGACATTCAGGTGGCTAAGACACGTGAGGAAATGCTCGCCATCACTAGCCATTAGAGAAATGCAAATCAAAACTATAATGAGATACCATCTCACCCTGACATTACTGGCATGAATTAAAAAAAAAAAAAAAAAAAACAGAAAATAACAAATGTTGGAGCGTTTGCGGGGAGATTGGTACTCTTATTCACTGCTGATGGGAATGCAAAATGGTACAACCGTTTTGGAAAACAATATGGCACTTCCTTAAAAAGCTAGAAATAGCAATATCATTTGATCCAGCAATCCCACCCCAAGGAATATATCCTAGAGAAATAAGAGCCATCACATGAGTAGACATATGCACCCTCATGTTCACTGCAGCATTATTCACAATAGCAAAAAGATGGAAACAACCTAAGTGCCCATCGACAGACAAATGGATAAACAAACTATGGTACATGCACACAATGGAATACTATGCAACGATAAAGAACAATGATGAATCTGTGAAACATCTCGCAATGTGGATGAATCTGGAGGGCATTATGCTGAGTGAAATAAGTCAATCACAAAAGGACAAATATTGTATGAGGCCACTATTATAAAAAGTCAAGATAAGTTTGACACACAGAAAGAAACATTCTTTGGTGATTACCAGGGATGGAAGGGGGAGGGAGAGAAAATCACTAACTAGATAGTAGACATGTGTTAACTTTGCTGAAGGGAAAGGCAATATACAGTAAGGGGGAAGGCAGCACAACATGACCAAGGCAAGGGAAGACACTGAGAGGTACATAAGAATAAAAGTCAACTGCTGTGAACACTATAAAATATTAAATCCTGCAAGGTGTGGGAGGGTACGTGGGAGTACATTCACATGGCTACATAGGTTTGGCTATGGTTCTTTCTACATATATACTTGTATGTGCTGTCTATTCATATATAAAATAGAGCACATAGGGGGCACAGTTATGGAAACTTTCCAGACATAACCAAACACCTCACAGGACTGAGTTATTGGGCTTGAAGTCTAAGGACCATAGTCTCAGGGGGCAGCTAGGTCAGTAGGCATAACACAATTCATAAAGAAAATGTTCTACATCCCACTTTCGTAAGTAGCATCTGGAGTCTTAAAAGCTTGCGAGCAGCCATCTAAGATACTTCTATTGGTCTCCTTCCACCTGGAGCAAAGCAGAGTGAAGAAAACCAAAAACTCAAGGAAGCAATTAGTCCAAAGGACTAATGGACCACAGGAACCACAGCCTCCACTAGTCTGAGACCAGAAGAACTAGATGGTGCCCGGCTACCACTACCAACCTCTCTGACTGGGATCACAATATCAAGTCCTGGTTAGAGTGGGAAAAAAACATAGAACAAAACTCATATAAAAGACCAGACTTCCTAGTCCTACAGAGGCTGGAGGAATTTCCGAGACTATGACCCTTAGACACCCTTCTAACTTGAAACTGAAGCCACTCCCAGAGATAACCTTTCACTCAAATAATAGACAGGCTTATAAAATAAACAATAACACCCATGAGGAAAGTGCTCCTTAGAACAGTCATCTATATGAGACCAAAAGGGAAACATCTGCCCAAAAGCAAAGATGAGAAGGCAGAAAGGAGAGGAAAACTGGACGAATGGAAACGCGCAATCAGGGTAGTAACAGACAGAGTGATGACACATTGCGGGAATTGCAACCAATGTCATAAAACAATTTGTACATAAACTATAGACTAGGAAACTAACCTGCTCTATAAACCTTTAGCTAAAGCACAATAAAATACTCTGAAAAAAAAATAATACCAGCCCCCATTTACTTCACAGCATAATTGTTAGGATCAGATACGATCACATGTGAAGGTACTCTATTAAACAAAGGCATTGCTTTTATAAGGCTGTAAATAAAAAACTTCACACACTAATGCTTGCACAAACATTTATTAAGATACAGTCCAGAACATGGCTGAGGAACTGGAAATACGAAGGAGAAAAAAGATCTCAGAGCAGCCCAAATCAGCATCACAGTCCTCATCAAAGAGCCTACTTCAGGCCGCTCCCTGGAGTCTGCTGTTATTCTTTATGTGACTCTAAGACGTTTGGTTATCTAGGCTCTGCTGTGACACAGAAGGCAAAAATTAGGAAGAGAAATGCCATAAGCAGGCACACTGCGAGCAGAAAGTGTACAGCAATGGAGAAAAAGAAAGCACTAAAAAGAACATGTCAATCTGGGACTGTTTACCATCTGTAACCCCTAGGCCTTCAGAGTCCATGATGAAAACCAAATGGACTGCTCTCTGCTCTCACGGATGCCGGCCTCCAAGTGCTCAGGAGGGTCTATGCCCATCAGATCATCAAGGTCCCTCACTCATATGCGCAAACAACGACTACTTAGAGAATGGAGCAGTGAATTGTGGTACCTTCAGACAATGGAATACTACTCAGCAATGAAAAGGAATGAGCCATTGCTAAGCAGAAAAACCTCAACATCATGAAACAAACATCCAGATGCAAAAGAGTTCGTGTGTAGGATTTTGCCTTTGTATGAAATTCTAAACCAGGCAAAACTAACTTAGGGTGGTCACAAAAATCAGAAAGTAGTTCATTCTTGGGGACAGGCAGGGACTGACAGAAAGGGGGCATGGAAGAACCTTCTGAGGTGATGTAAATGTTCTCCACTTTGTTTGGGGTGGTGGTTACACAGGTGTATACAACTGTCGAAAAGTTATCAAATCGAATAGTTAAGACCCATGCATAATATTGTATATCAATCGTTAAAAACCAATTGAAAATTATTTTTTAAAAAGATACAGTCCAGTGAACCAGGTCAGCTCTTCCTGTGAGTACAGTATCATTTACTGGTGTGCAATAACACCCAAGGGCCAGATGAACTAGATAATCAAAATCAAATGCTGTTTACAAAATTGGCCGAAAGAGTACAGCCCAAAACACGATTTTAAGCTGCAACGTATCTGAGGACATGTCACAGTCCTGCTTTTTATTGTTGTTGACATATGTATTTTCATTTTAAAGTTCATTGCAGGTCCACACACATGCAAAAGTTTTTTTTATTCCATTTTGGCAGAAAGCAGAGCCATCAAAATCAATGACAATGCAATATCAGAAATACAGCTGCTTTTCACCCCTTATCATCTACATAACGAACATGCCGCCATTCCCAGGGGCTTTCAGAGCACATGCACATAAACAACACTGAGCCTCATGGGCAGACTGGGCTTTGTCCAGCATCTTCACTTTACTCTGGGTCCTTATCCTCATCGGAAAAGTGAGGAACCGACTTCTTTGCGACAACATTGTCCAATCTCTGTCCTTGCAGATACGGATTGACACTCTGGGGGAAAAAAAAAAAAGTTTGATATTACATGTCACCCTCAGATACAGGTACCCCACAAAAGAAGTGAAAGAGAATTGTTTCTGGATTACAGGGTTACAAGGTTAATGGGGTACCTGAAAACCAAAAAACCCAAACTCATTGCTGTCGAGTCGATTCCGACTCATAGCGACCCTATAGAACAGAGTAGAACTGCCCCGTAGGGTTTCCAAGGAGCAGCTGGTGGATTCAAACTGCCAGCCTTCTGGTTAGCAGCGCTAGCTCTTAACCACTGCGCCACCACGGGTCCAGTGGGGTACCTACCGCCTACTAAACAATTACCCCAGTGCATTTACCAATATCTTAGTGGCTTGAGAAACATCGTCTGACAAATAGATGTGTCTAATTGTGTCTGCCACACAACTAGAGAGTTCCTGTTATATCAGATGTAATGTTTTCTGTTTTTGGGTTTTTTTTTTTTTTTTGGTGCAAAGATTTGGGGTGAACCAGGTAATAAGCTCTTGCTATTAACTTAGATACTAATCTCTTTTGTGAAGGAGAAATCCTACTTTATGGGTCTGTTTAGGTGAGACAGGAAATCTGAAGTTCATTAAATTATTTTACAAGAAGAATGTTCTACAGATGACACAGAAGGGCCACGTGGGAATTAGCATCTGAAGACTGATCACAGATCATCCTGTTGCTGTGATTGAGTCCTGCATGCCAGTCGTTTGCTAATAACAGCATTCAACGGGGACTGTAGCGATCATTTCCATCTTCCCTCAGTCAAATCCAAAAGCTATAGAAAAGAAGGAAGTTATCCGGAAGGCTCCTTTATTTTTGACTCAAGTCTCCATACTCTGAAATCTCTTTCATCTGCCATTATTCTGAGTGAATCAAGATTTTTTTCATTCCTTCTCTAATACATATCTCTTCTTTGAGGTTTGGATTGGAACTAGTAACTGGAACTTTACAACGTAGTCTTTAGCAAGCAGGAAAAAATTTCAAAACTTTTGGAAGGTATCTGTTTATTAAAGATGACTTCCAATAACTCAACAAAAATATAAGAAAGAAGCTGTATTTACAAATGATTAGCTATCCAGTGGCACGCCAAGTCCCCATGAACACATGGAGACAGTTCATAGGTGGATCCTACTTGCCTCGAAGAGGGAACTCACATTCTCCAAAACAGAAGGAACAGAACCTGCGTTTAGTATCTGTAAATGCCCTTCTGTACTCTGACAGGTAAAAGCATAAGTCATGAAAGGCTCAACTCACTCTGCAAAACTAAGTTGCATCATAAACAAGTGAAGAGTTCATTACACGGTGTGAAATGCCTCGTATCTTTGAAAGGCGGCGTGTCACAGGAAGACAGTATCTTGCTGGAAGTAATCTTTACAAGATTTAGGAAAACAAAAAATCCTTTTCTAGTGGGGACTGTCAACAAGAGCAGCCTGCCTACCCCCATGGAATCGTATCAGAACCTCTGGGCAGGTGGAACAAGTGTGGACTGAAAAAGTATATTCAATATCATAAATATTTTTACTGATTTTTAGTAATCATATTTATTCTGAAATTTCAAATGTATTTAAAGAGGATATGAGATTTTCATGTTTATCAAGTGTGGGATTAAAAGGCTGGTAAGTGTTTAATAAGATCATTGTTGCTGTTTGTTAGCTGTTGCTGAGTTGGCCCATGTGGACCCCATGCACAGAGCATGGGGTCCTGTGCCATCCCCTGTGACCGGTGCAGATTAAATCATTGTGATCCGGAGGGTTTTAATGGTTGATTTTTGGAAATAGATTTCCAGATCTTTCTTCCCAATCTATCTTAGTCTGGAAACTGCTGAAACCTGTTCAGCATCACAGCAACACACAAGTCTCCACTGACAGAGTGGTGGTAGGTGTGCATGAGATGCGTTGGTCAAGAATCGAACCCGGGCCTCTCGCATGGAAGGCGAGAATTCTACCCCTGAATCATCACTGCCCCCATAATAGGTAAATGGTAGATCTTAAATGCTAACAAGATACTTCTCAAGAGTTAAAAGTTTGCATAGTCACCGTAAAAAGTTTTGACCATTAATTCATGAAGCAACCAGGAAGTCAATTGGATTTGAATAAGTATAGAAAGTCACATAAAACCTGGGGCTCTGTTGTAACTCTGAGGAGAATCCCCCTTGGTAAGGGCCTTTCATGGGAGAATTTCATATTCTTCTTTCTACCCAGACCCATAAATTCTAAAGGTTGGAGGAGAGGGGAAGTAAATTAAGGAGGAAAAAAAGGGGCAAACAGCTGAACCTTTTTGATAAATGTTTAACAACCGATTTTGAATCTAACACTTAAGAGTTATGATAATAAGGGTTGTAATTATCCTCTGAAGAACTCAAGGCACTTATATTTTTATCTTCTCACTTGTGTCAGAGACCGGTTAGGTTACACAGAGAACATTCTTCCCATTTCACAACTGTAGAAATAAAAATACAGAGGCTTTGGATCAAACTGTTTATCCACAGTAGAGCCAAGGGCAGCCCGCAGGTACAATGCAAAAGACCATGGATTTTCATCTGGAAGAACCATTGGGATTGGATCCTTGCTTTTGAATGTCCTCTGAAAACCCGGATAAGATGCTGAACTTTGTTGGAGGAAGCCTGGATTTTTTTAACAACAGAAAATCTGTAATTTCTTTATTTTGATTCATGGACTGGAGGTGGGTGGTGAAGGTCGCCAGTCAAGACAGAAACACCATCTGAGCCATAACAATGGGGGAAGCAACTCTTTCTCTCCATCAAGTTCGAGAGGCCCATGGTTGATGGCAAGAGCATGGGTCTTTGTAGATGCTTGAGAAAAGGAAGAACTTGATACCTCTGGGTCAAAGGGACCCCTGTTTTCATAAATTTTAAAACCTTTCCTATGTGGAGGAAGTTGAAGCTGAGTTAAAACCCTTTAAAACATGTATCTTCACCAGAATTCCGAGTCTTGGTAAATTGTGACCCACAGTCATTCAGTGAGTCTGGCAGAAGGGATGGCGGGCCAGGAAGTAGAGACAATTAGAGCTTATTCATTTCGGGTCAGTCATTGGTCTTATTTGGAAATGGGCTTGCTGTGCCATGGGGAGATATTCAGGCTGTTCTACTGGTAAATTGTGTGTATTCTGAGCTCCTAGGATCGAAGTTCTTGATGTTCTCTCAAGACCACATCACACTCTTCAGACCCTTCCTGCTACTGGAAGCTGTAATCACCCAAGAAAAACCCCTAATAGCCCTGCTAACTCTCCCAAAGAAGATCTGTTTCCAGAAGTCAAAATGTTCTCCTTCTTGCATCGAAAACTAGCTGTGGGTCATCTGGGTTTTGTGAAGCAGCAAAGGGGCCTGGAACCCTCTGCTGTGGGGACATGAAGATTAATGCTGAGGCTGGAAAATCTACACCTCTTAAACACTTTCTGACTGGATTAGGAAAAGCTATTCAGAATGACCACAATGACCTCAGTCCAGCTTCCCAAATGTGGCCAGGATCCAGGCACTTGTTATTTGGAATAAACAGTCAGTGGCCTTTGGTATATGGTTTCCTGTTTGTATGTTTTAACTAAAATGGTCACCACCCATAGCACTTTGCCGTGTGATTGTTAACTGCTCTCAAACCGCCCTCTGACTCATGGTGACCCCACGTACAACAGGATCGGACCATGATGGTCGATGGGGTTTTCATTGGCTGATTTTCAGAAGAAGATCACCAGGCTTTTCTTCCTAGACCGTCTTAGTCTGGAAGTTCTGCTGAAGTCTGTTCAGCATCATAACAACATGCAAGCCTCCACTGACAGCCGGTTGGCGGCCATACATGAGGTGCATCGGCTGGGAATCGAAGCCAGGTTTCCCAACCGAAAGATGAGAATTTTACCACTGAACCACCATTGCCCCCTTGCCAAGTAACAGCTGGGCTTTTATTTCTTCCTCTATTTGAACAGAAAATGATGATGACAAGTGGCCAGGCCCTTCTGTCAAGTAAGGTACTGACGGATTAGCAGAATGGACATCGATCATTTGTTAAGGCTCAGCGCCATGAAGTGCACCAGGAACCCAAAGCAAATTCAACAG